CTAGCCTACTCATACATGCAGACAAGTCAGTGGTGAATCTGTTTTGTGTTTGTTTTTAGTACTTATTTGTAAGGATCATTAGAGATTTAGTCTCCAGTTCTTTCAAAGCAAGAATGAAAGGCAAAGAGCAACAGAGTTGTTGCTGAAACAAATATTTCAATAGTTTAGGTTCAGAAGCCTCTTCTCTAGGGGAACTGCTTCCGAGCTAACTTTTTTATGAAAAGAAAGGGATATGGATGATGCCAGGCCTCAAATATCAGATCACCAGTTATGCATGTAGATATCTATAGACATAACACCATGGGTACAATATTAGCAACCTATGAGTTACTATCTCTGTGAATGTCAGATGCCATGGCTAGAATCAGTAATTCATGTATTACTACACTGCCCATTGTACCACTTCTGGCATTGACACTCATAAACCCAATTTAGTTGTTTTTATGATCAAGGAATTACAATCTTCCTTCTGAAAGGCCTAATTTAGATAACTGTTCTAAATGTTGCCAAGATTCTTGCAATAGCTATGGCTTACAGATGCTGAATGATACCCTTTACTTGATATTGTTTTGGATTTGTTTTTCCCCTACATTTTGAATATCAAATTTGTACTTTATTGGTGTTTCTGTATTTTAAAGTCTGTATTTGTGTTTTATTGGTTTGGGACAGAAAATAAATCTAAATGAAAATGTACAGTATATGCATGTGTGAGCAAGATAAATGAGATCTTTAAATAAATGACATGCATTTTATTAACAATGACTTGAAATTCAATCACCTTTTATTTCAAAGATTCCAGCAATTCCTAATAAATGTGCATTTTGATCAGAATTGTATATGAATTATTCTCAAGTCAGAGGAAAACAACCTGATATTAAATCTGGTTGTTATCAAAACAAGAGACATACCAAAGTATGGCCCTTCTAACTAAAACCAAAAACTGTCCAGCCCATTGCATACTTGGATAGGAGAAAGTGACAAAAGAATGTGAACTTTTATTTTACTTGCATTTGCTATGCGCTAGCATTGGTACCAAGGTTTTTTAATAGCTTCTTAGCTTTTCTACAATAAAATTACATCAGAGGTTCCAGGATTCTTATGTACATGTTTAATTAAATCCAGTCAAGTCTGCTGAGGAAAGACCTAATGGTTTATAATGGAGTCTTGAGGGCTCCACATGACCCCTGAAAACCTCCAGTTCAGTTCCTCCAAATTTGCTGCCCGTCTATAATCTTTAATGTGACAGGAGGGGAAATTATTAAATGTATGGAGAATAATCCTTATTTCTGTGAAAACAGTGCTTCAAATTGATTGAGAGTGATTTGCTTCTGGTCAGTCTGTTAAATCAGATTTTTTATTTATTTATTTATTTATTTATTTATTTATTTATTTATTTATTTATTTATTTATTTTTTTATTTTATACACGGTCCACCTTACCTAAGTGACTCTGGGCAGTTTACAACAACATAGAAAACTATATAAATCTATGAATAAAATTCATTTAAACTGACTTGGAGATATTCGGATACTTTTCACACAAACCTAGAGATATCTTTGTGATCTGGATTGATTGTCATTCAAGTGAGATTTGATTTTCAGGTTTAATCCAGTTCAATTTGAATCAAATTGGATTTTATGAATTGATTCTAATATTCATATTAAAATGAACCCAAATTTTAAATATCACAGCATTCATGCACAAATAATTGAATTTAAAGTACATGATATAAATAAAATCAAATGCAGATTTTGGGGGAGCATTTGCTTTTTTGTCTAAGGCCTATCAATTTTTTCTGATGTCAACTAGAGATTAAGTCTCTCTCTCTCTCTCTAATATTGTAAAATTTTAGCAGATATTTCCCCCACCCAGGACTGGTTCTTAAGGCAAAAACTCGATTTAATGAAATTCAGCTCTTTTTTTTATTTTCTTGGCAACAATACAGAATTGGTTTTCCATTGCCATTGTCTAGTATGTGTTTTTAAAATTCTCAGCCTTGCTTACAGCCCTGGAATTTCCTTGTGATTCCCAATCAAGTACTAACTAGGCCGAACCCAACTTACTTTTCTTGAGGTCTGTCAAAATCAGCAAGGGGACATCTACTGCAAATCTAACTCATAAGGGTACATCTATAAAATATACAGTACATTCTTATGAGTAAGTAGAAAATGATAAATTTTGCAAAAGAGGTAATAACATTAAAGGATTTCATAGACGGATTAATATTTTCCAGCCCTTATTCCTTGTTTGACCCTGAGAAAACTGTTTTCCTTTTGTAGCATTATACATTTGAATGAATTCCATGCCACAGTGATAGTCATGTAAGCAGTTTTATCCATCTCCCCTGTCTTGTGGCTCTCTCAAAGCAAAGAAATGGACTTTTACTGAGGCCTAAGAATATATTTCTCTCGTCTCCCTGCTGTACTGCTGTTGATCTGGATAACAACTTCAGGAGCATGTATTTTCTTTCCTCATTGAATGAACACCCTTTAGAGTTTTGGGGAAGGAAGATATGCCCCTTCAGATATTTTTTTAAATATAATTTTTATTGAAAGTTTTAACAGAAATAAGAATTAATTAAAACCAAAACAGAGCAAAGGAAACGAAAAGGAAAGGAAAGAGAGAAATAAAAGAATAAGATAAAAAGTATAAGAAGAAAAAGAAATAGAAAAAAAGGGAAAGCTATAACGAAAGTTACAAAAGTATAAAGAATTTGCTTCCAATATGTAAGTAAAATTATATCTTAACCTGTCTAAAGTTACATCATTGCTGTCTTCTTTCTATAATCTAGCCTGTTAAATCATCAAAACCATAAATCACAAGCATTTTTTTCATTTCCCCCCCCCAAAAAAAGTCCATAAGGGATTTCCAATGACAATAAAATATACTCTTCAGGTATTGTTAACATAAAGCTTGCAGTATCTTTCATATTTGGTCTTATTGGTTTGAGCTATTGGAGCTGTAAGTCAACAGTAGTTCTCTACCTTAGCTTAAACAGAAGGTAGGATTCCTTGGTTTCTAATACTTATGTGAAAGGAAATTCTTTATGATTTCTTTGAAACTCTTCATTACTTTCATTGGCATCTGAAAAACCACATAAACCACAAATGTAGGATAATAAAAACTAAAACATATATTTCTGGCTCAAATTCAGGTAGTGTCATCCAAAATATTACAAGGATTAGTTCCATCTATTTTAAAAGTGATTCAAGGACAAGGATTTTTGAGCTTTCAAAATCTATGTTGTGATATGAAGGATAGACAGTACACTAGAAAAAAACCTTTGCCCCACCCATTTTAGAAATGACCAGAGTAGCACTGTAGATGCTAATTTTCATTTAAAATAATAAATCAACTTCTTATAAATAGATTTAACCATGTTCTTAATCTTAGATCTGCCTATTTTCTTAGTCTTGCTCTATAGTTGTTTTCCAAGGTTAAGTAGAGAAACATGTAGACAAAGTCTATGACTTCTGGCTTAAGTCCATCAATAATGATTTACAAGTAAAATATTTGGATTCATACAACATTCTAAATTAAAGCTAAGCAAAGTACCATAGGGTTTACCCTGTGTGTAAGCCAGGCTTACTTTCAGAACTTAAAAGTTCATATGATTCTCTTAGTTAACATGAAATTTTTTGAGTGGTTTTTGGCTTGGAGAACAAGCAACATAGCCATTATTTTGCTAGATTTAATTTTATTGTTCACTGCCATTTTAGATAATTTGTTAAAAGTTATTATTCAGTTAAATTTTTTCACATTTTTAAATGTGTGCAGTTATCTTATTGGGATCATCTTTCAAACAGAAAAGTGGATATTGTGTTTAAATGAACATATATTATAAAGTTATTTGGGTATTAGAATAGACTAGTGTGTGTATATATATAAAACTATGTATTTGTAAACATATAACTTATATATAGATATATAATGTGTTTAATAGTGAAACCAATATGGTTTATTACTAGTAATAATGATATATTTTAATGCTACTGCTATTATTACCAGTATTTTGGAACAGGAAGTGAAAATACATTTCTTCTTTTCCCAGTCTTGGAAGTAAAAAAATTCAGTACTGTATGGTGCTTTACTAATGGAAGAAAAAACTTTTCTTTTGCATTCCTGAGACTCCAGAGATTTAGTTCAACCTGATGGCATATACAGTAATGAGTTAACAAAGCATGAACAAGGAACATAGCTTCATCAGAAGTACACACATAGCAAAAATATAGGTGCTATAGCAATAATTTGATTTAATGTTTTATATACACATGCGTGCATATATAAAAAAGACTTCTATTAGAGTTATACATAAAGCATATATATGTAAGTAAACACTTTTCTCATTTTCCACAGGGTTCAAAAAGGTGAGTCTTTCCTGCCACCAGAAAGGCAGGCCTGGTGTATAAAGAGTGAACTTTAAGCGTCCTCAAGCGTTTCCCAGCTTGAGTAAGCCAACGCTGAAGCTGATGCTGCTTCCCTTCCCCCCCCACCCCCATTTATTTACTGAAATATAAATTCAGCCAATTGGTGTATATATATGTATATATGTATATGTGTATATGTATGTATGTATTAAAAATGTAGTCTGAAAATGTAGACAGAAAAGAGGCGTCTTAAAGGAAAGCTAAAAAGAATTAAGAGTGTAGCGATTTCCCCTCCCCCAAAATTAACTTCCTACAGAATTGTCTCGGGGTAAAAAAAAACCCACGAAAAGGGAAAGAAAACCCGTACAGCAATTCTGTCACTTGGCGTATTATCGCCAATACTATTAGCCGGCGTTCAATAGACTTCGGCTTCATTTTGGAGCCTCCAATTAGCTTTTATCTTTCTCCCCAATTGTATGGCGCTTTCCCAGGAGAAGGGGGCGGTGTATGTTATCTCGCTTCCCCAGGATGAGTTTGCAAGCATGAGAAAGCCGGGCTCCCGAGCACCTGCCTCTTAGTCATCCTGGGTTTGAGGATGTCCCCAGATTACATCTTCTCAGCTGTTTGCAAAACAGCTCCGGGTGGGAGGAGTAGCGCTCGGATTTACCCACCGTCTCGGCTGTCTCTTTAAATGCTGGGGTCTGCGCGCTGGAGAAGGGGAGGGATCGGCTCCGGAGTGCGTGAAATTCCTGGGCTTCTCTGACAGTCTCGGGCAGAAAGCTCTGCTTTACGCAGCTCTTCTCGCGCGCAACTCATCCCGCTGAGGGAGAGGCGCGCCGACCTTTTTTTTTTTTCCCCCTGGCGCGCGTTTTCTCGCCAGCTCTGCCTCTGCTCTCCCAAGTCGTTCGCGGGACTCGCGTCGGGCAGCACCTTCGCCTTCCCTCATGCCGCTCCCGTAGAGCCAGCCTGGATTCTTACAACCCTGAGAAGGAGCCAAACCCAAGAGTTGATTCCGGTACCTATAGCTCTCTCCTCAACTCCAAGGTAAGACTTTTTTGGACCGGGGGGGGGAGGGACTGAAGAAGCGGGAAATGTAAAACCTAGGCTGAAATACGACGCCCCCCCTCTCTCGCCTTCACGGACACAGCCTTTTCGGGGCGCCTCCTGGGAACTCTAGTTCGGAATTGGAGGCTAGAAGTTCTCACCTGCGAAAGCTGGGAATGAAACACAAGCGGGACTGGAAAAATTGGAACGAACGGAAAGAAACTCCGAAATCCCGACTCCTTCGGGGATTTATATCGATAAGGTTTTCTTTTTTTTTTTAAAAAAAAAAGTTGGCTCCTTCCTTAAATTGGATTTTTTCTCCCCCACGTCTAAAAAGTAAAAGGAAAAAAAAAAGGATTTAAACTACACACCGAAACCAAATACTTCGTTAACAAATGCAGAGGACAAACCCTAATAAATACATTTATTTAGATTCCTTTGACTGACCGGCTTTATTTGTATGAAACTTAAAAAAAAAATAAAATTGGAAAAAGACACTGCTAAAGTAATCTGTGAAGAAACCAGGATTTTCGATAATCCTTAAATTCCTTTAAATCTCACCCTGACAATTTTTAAACAATTACACAATAAAAAAATGGGACGGAGATGCAAAGGTTTCATTCACCCTCCCTCCCTTTCCATACTACTTTGGCTCTATTGCAAGAATCTTTCTTCCCTGGCTTCCATTTGTTTATATTAATGATTTAGTATCATCCTTGTCTGAAAACTTCCACTATATAAGCAACTGCTGTGAACAACCAGGCAAAGAGCGACTTTAAATGTTGCTGACAATTTTGTAATATCATACCACAAATAAATAGTGTTAATATATTTTTCCCTTTCTTTTCTTTGTTCTCCACCTTTTCCCCTCTCCAAATCCAAATCTATAGCTGTTTTGTAATTTTACCCCATGAAGGACGGTGATGTAATTCCCTTTTCTAAATCATCAGGCTGTAGTGCTGTACAAGTGACGTGATCTTTTGTTTACTTTTACATTTTATTTTAATTATTTTTTGTGCAATGGGAAAAAGAAACCTCCAAAATTATTTACACTTTCTTTGTAAAAAAATAACCATTTTGCAAGCATGTTATTCTTTTTCCCACCCACAAATTATTAGATTAAAATAAATAAAGGACACGTTATTAGAAGCCCTTGAAATAAAAATCAGTGAGCCTAAAAATAATTGTAAAATTATTAAATTTATTTTAGAAATCCCAGAATTTTCATTGCCAACTCTTTCTTGATTTCTTCTTTGGCCTGGCTGTTTCAAATTTCATGAAAAATATGGGGTTTTTTTAGGAGTAGATAATTTGTGTGAATTGCTTCCTATTTTTCGTCTCAAATCTGACCTGAGAATTTTTCAGGCGTCAAATGCTCCAACCTTGTAAGAGGAATATTTTTTCCAAAGCAAATAATTTTCATGACCGTGCATTGGCACTTCTGCCATGATATATTTTTGGGATTTTTTTTTTTTGCGGGGGTGAACTCCTGACTAGTCTAGTGAGGTCAGGAATTGAGAGAGAAAGGGAGAAGGTTATTATCGGATGGAAAAGAGAAAAGAAAGAACCAAGGTGAGCTCTTTGCTCACTATAAAGCAGTGATCGTGAACGATATAAAATATGAGATTTTCATGATCCTTATTTTGTTAAAGTGGTAGATATTGTTACATTCTGCAAGTTTACTTAAAGGCTAGTGAGAAGTAAATATTTTTTTTAAAATTGCAAGTGTTGATGGTGACCATTTTATTTTGCTACCTTTTTATCCATACATGCTTTTTATGCACCATTAGTATGGGATTTAATGAAATTTTCTCCCAAGCTCTCGACACCCCTTTGTAAAGCATCTTGCGTTGTGAGATGAGGAAAATAATAGTGTTTTTACATCCTTGGTGATGGTGGGACTAACTAGGACTGTATTAATTGATTAAATGAAATATATACGGGTGTCAGATTGATGAAGATTTTCTGTCTGGATCATTAAGGGCTTTACTGGTGGAAAATACTTTAAGAGAGGAAAGTATATTATCATCCTTTACAATGTTTTCCTTAAAAAAAAGGAAAGGAAGGGTTGGGAAAATGGCATGCCAATAAACAAATGAATTTAAGCTTTTAGGCCTTAGCATTTTATTTCATAATCCCCAGTGATGATGGTTTCTTGACTGAGCCGATATCTGATGATATCACCGTTCTTCATGGCTCTACGTTGGCCTCATTTTGCACTGCGTTTCTACTAAACATGTTGGCGTGCTTCTGCTTATATAAGGAAAAGAATGAATTCCAGCGGATTTTAGTGATTGGGATTTTGAGATTGGCTCTCCTGATTAATTTGTAGGATTTATTTTTTAAAACATACCCGTGTCATTGCAATTTAATTCATTAGTACCATTCTTGATGGGTGGAGAAAGGGTTAGGAAAAATGGGAGGGAATTGGAAAATTGTGGTGCGTGCAAAAGAAGACAGAAGAGATACGGGGAGCTGCTGTTTTTTGAATAGTATCCCTTATGAGGCCTCTAATTTTTTAAATAGACATCATTATCTCTAAAAACATATTCTTTAGGCCAAAAAAGGGAGGGGGAGGGCAGGTGATATCTTCCGTGAGGGGTTTTGATCTGCAAGTCATTAGATTGCTGCAAAGCCAAGATAGAGAAATCCATCTGCACTAATGCTGGGTAGGGGAGGCTGAAGGTAGGATGCTCTCTGTGTGGATCTATATGGGCAGGGACGGGTTGTTAATTTTGGGATTAGAAAAGCGGAGCTGTATCTTCTATTTACACCCCACTGTTTTCTGCCATGGCTTCCCTTTTCTCTGTCCGTTTCCCATTTCTCCTCCTCCCAGACCCCTTCCCACCCTCCCACCTCCCTAGTAGGCTTTTTGGCTCTTGACTGGAAAATTCTGTATTACCTCTTGATGGCTCTGCGGCTTTTTTAGTGTGTGTTTGTGCATGTGTATTACAACAGAAGCACAATGACCTTTGCTTCATGCCCCACATATGTAGGCTCCTATTAGCTGTGCTATCACGGTTTATACCGACGTTTGTATGATAGGCCATAACTTAATTCTCCATCCTTCCCTTTAAATGCTAGTGAATCTAAAGATACGACTATATGTATATAAGGGTGTACGCATGGGGAAGGGCTTATAGGCGTTGGTCAGAGTCAGGAAACACAGCAAACGCTAAACAACCACCCGTCCATTTTGTTGCCAGTTCTTTTGCCCCTGGTTTTTTTCAGCATGTTGTTGTGCACCATACAGTTCATATGTTGAGAAAGAGGATCTATCTATAGTGAAGACAGAGGAAGGCTGGAGTAGAAAGAATGGGTGTTCATGTCTTTGTGTTGTGGAGGAATGGAATTATCTTTTTTTGTTGTTGTTCTAATGGATGCCTGGTGATAATGATTTAGTTTAACCATCTGTGAAATGCATGCTTGTGACACATTGACATAGAAGTGTGGATGAGCGAGTCATCTCTAGGGAGCATGCTGTTTGTAACATTGAAGGACAGAACATGTATGCAAGTACCCAACCCTGTCTTTTTCTCATAAAGGCCAGGCTGGGAAGTGGGACAATGCAAGTGAAAGGGAGAGCTATGTATAGGGGTGCATCAGCTGAGGCCAAAGAACGGGGGTCTCCAGTTCTTGTCCTTCTGTACTGCCCCAAGCTTCCCTGTGTTTTTGAACAGACATTACAGCCCAACCATTGTCCCTGTGTGCTGCCATGCTGAAGGTTGTGTGTACATGTGAGATTTGAGGGGGTTGAATCACGAGCTGTGTTAGCGTGTTGTGGGAGGGGTGGGCAAGAAATTCACTTTTTCTGTGACAATGTGTGTGAGATAGAGAGAGATGGCATTTTCTGGTTTGAAGAAAGCGCTGCCGCCTTCCTCCCATTACGCCCTGTCTTTTCTTTTTTTGTCATCTGCTTTCTAGCCTTTGCAATATTGCGTGGGTGAATTTTTGCTCTGCGGTGGGTGGAGAGCTTGCAGGCAGGTGTGGGAAAGGATGCAGTAGTAAAAGAAGACTGAGTGCAAAGGGTTGACAAGTACTGTACCCCTTTAAAAAATTGCTTTCCTTAGATCAAAAAGGCCTTCAATCCCACCTTTCCAACCCATACACATCTATTGTTCTGGTTGCAATCAAATAGATCTCCCAACGTTGCATTTAGAGAATATCGCAGAAACGAGTTTTAATGGCTTCCATATTTCTAGCCGTCAGTTTTCTCAGGTATCTGCTGTGTCATTAAATTTATCTGCATTGTTCAAAAATCTCCATATTTTTATGCTTTATGGGATGGTAACAAAAATGAACATAATTAAATTAATCATATTGTGATGTTTTTACTCAACATTTGCTATCTTTTTTCTGACCTGACCTTGAATAATTTTACTAAGTGAAGACAAAAAGTTGGAATTGAATTACTGGGCATCTGATTTTCATAGTCTTCATGACCACTTAGTAGGAAATGATGGGAGTACTTGTTTTTAGCTGTTTGGTTATGTTCTCATTGTCTAGACAAAATTCTGGGCATATTGCGGGTCTAGCCAAGGCTAGGTGATGGTGCCATGACTGATTAAGCAACAGGCAGGAGATTCTGCATCTGTTAAAATCCTGAGATAGATTCTTTCAGGTGGCAACAACAGTCTTTTGAATTTTCAATTATTTCTTTCCAATTCCCCAAATGGCTTGAAATGGAACAGGAATCCAAGGAATGTCAAAAAGTTATGCCATAACCCTTCCTGCATCTTTAAAATGTTGCCCTTTTTTGCTAGTTTTAACTATTTTAAAGTCTAGCTCTTGGATGAAAATGGAATGAATATGAATGGCTATCCTTGTTCATTGAACATGAAAACTTTGACATGAAATTTTTGCTCAAACTTAACTAACCTGGAATGTGATTCAGGCAAAAGCATGACCATTGTTACAGGAGAACAGTAGAAGTTCTAACTAACCACCACTTTTATTTTTCTCAAATCTGTCATCTATCGTCTGTCTGTCTGTCTGTCTGT